GTCGAGATGTGCAAATAGGTTGTGGCAATGATCAGCAACGGTAGCAAAACAGAGGAGAAGAAGGCTGGCTGTTCAGCTGCACTTTGTCAAGCTTAGTTGACTTGAGGATTGGAACTCTTGCGCGTCACAAAACGAACTATGCACAAGACGCAGAGTTGCTCATGTTGTTATTTGCAAGGAACGATCGCAAGAAAGCATCTCCAAAGCTGAATTGAAACGATTGCAAGGGAATGTATCCACGCCAGGAAGTGCCATATGCTTCTTTGGAGAAGGAGGTGACTTGTGAAAGCAGCACTTGTCACACCAGGGATGAGCAAATCAGCTTTCCAAGAAGCTCAGGTTCAATCTCCGTGCATGATTTATGGTGTAAAGTGTTTTGTTCTCATGGGTTTCAAGTAACATCCCCTGCATCATGCATACGATACTGTAAGTGATCCTAGGTGAATTGCGGGGCAGTGAGTTTCGTCAGGAGTTGCCTCCGTTTGGAGATGAAGGCTTTGAAGATTCTATTGCAAGCCTCAAGGAGGCTGAAGAATCTTGCAAGTGAATGGCAAGTTGAAAATAAGATAGAATTGTTCAGGCAATGCTTGTTTTGCCTGTGTGTTGTGCCAAAACGAAGCAGTGCAAATAGGTTGTGGCAATGATCAGCAACGGTAGCAAAATCGCGGATGAGAAGGCCAGCTGATCTTGTGGCTCGATAGGATGTGTCCATAAGTTTTTGCTTTCAAACAGACCGCTTTGCTGTGCAGCTGAGGTGATTTGACGCAGGTTTTTGCTCGGAAATGCCTCCAAAGACGAAGTCGAAGACTCAAGGAGGCTGGGAGCCCATATGAGCCTTGAGTAGGCTTCTTGGTTGGAGGCTATTGCTTCTAGGTAGGGAGGCATCAAAGAGCCCATCTGAGCCTTGAGTCTTGGCGTTCTTGGAAGTCCTTGTGCGTGGCCCGTTAAAGGCATTCCTTGTGGTCGTGGTCATGGGAGTAGTAGTAGTAGTAGTAGTCGTAGTCGCTACTGAAGCTGAATATGAAGTTTGAAGCATTCTTGAAAACTGATGCTGAGGTGGCTACAAGGCAGGGTGCCGGGGGCAAAACGCAATAGAAACAAAGAAGGCACCAGGCCATCCTACTAGGTTGGAGGCCATCGCTATTATGTTGGAGACCCTCGCTATTGGGTTGGAGGTTGTAGAGCATGCCAATTGAAAAAGAAGTTGCAAAGAAGGCACCAGGCCAGTGGCACGAAGGACAGCTGGCCGATTTCTTGCAGCTCTTCGTCCGGAAGAATAAACGACTTACCAAAGCACATGTTTGACTTCTAGTCCTTTCTGTGTTGTTGTTTTCTTTTAGACCTTTCGTGTTTTTTCTTTGTTTCTCGTAGTTTCACCACTTCAAGTAGAGAATAGCCACAGTGGAAGGGATTTGAGTTCTCTTCTCACTGGAACTCTGTTCAGGCAAAGCCTCGGCCACACCATGTCGCACGATTAAAAATGGCCCTTGGCGTCAGCCGGCGACCACACCGAAATTTGAGTTTGGAGCTTCAGCTTTACGACTAAAAGCATTTGGCTTTACAGCAGGCTACAAGTAGCACCATTCATTGAACTTAACCTTCAATGGCTAGATACCGCCAGATGTGTTGCTTGGATTAGTATTCTGAAGGTCCTTCGTTCAAAAAAACCAGCGTTCTTCACAACCCTGGGCATGGCGTAGCCAAGATTCAACTTGGAAACAACAGTTGAAACAGATCGTGAAAAAGATCCAAAGTGTCAAGCAAGATCATTGAAAAAGTTTGGAGGTTCATAACTCTCATGACATGCTAATTGTTCCATGAAGAAACAAAGACAGCCCGCAGAATCCCGTGGTGCTGGGTGGGTGTCAGCTGGACCTCATGGGCCATGGCCTGCGGTGCATGGGCCCCCCGGCCACCCCCACCGCCGCCAAACGGACGGACGCGACCACGGCCTCGAGCAATAGGCAGGACTCGGCGATCGTAGCGGTGCACCTGTGGTGCTTTTCGTTGCGGTTTTTAGCCCTTGGAAAGGAGAGCGTCCTTGCTCCTAGTAGCGATGCCAGGAGCCCCTAGTGGCTTCTTGCTCCTAGTAACTAGTAGCAAGGCCAGGAGCCCCTAGTAGCTTCTTTTTACTAGGAAAGGAGAGCGCTCTGTGTTTCCAAAGAAGCATTTTTGTTGGAGATTCCTAACCTAAGTAAGTCCTTATTGATGGAGGCATTCTTGGAACCATTTTGATCGTGATCATTGATGTGATAGAGATCACGTGTGGTTCTCGCAACGTTCCTCGGAATTCAGCAGAGCTTGGAAGATTTTTCTGCGTCGTTCTGCAGAACCCCTGTCCTCTGCGTCGCACTCTGCGGTAGAGGCTCCGGCCAGGCAGGGGAGTGGGGGGAGTGGCGAGGAAGCACATTGAAATGACATGTCTAGCTACTGGTAGCTTCTAAGAAGCTACTTGTGGCGATGCCCTGTGTTACTAGTAGCTACTGTACACCGAAGGCTCGGTGCCTTTGGATGTTCTTCGTGTCCACGCCGGGGACGGCTTTTCGAATGCTATGGGTTACAGCAATGTGACGTAGGCGACTGTGTGGACTTCTTCACCCTCCGCCTTGGCAGTTCCTCCAGCCATCTCTCACGTTTGTAGCTGGAGCCACAAAGATATTGGGATGGACCCTTTAAAAGAAAAGGAATACATATCGTATTGCATGTATCCTAACTGTCAATTGTTTGAAATCCTCTTCCACGTAATTAGGACGCGGAGGTAAACCAACACAACCATTCTGAGCCGTGTATGTGTCTTGCATCAATCAGATTTTGGGCAAAATTCCGCTCGAGCTTGTGCTATCACCCACATGGCATCAGGCCAGAGGTGACAGCATCAAGTGCAGGGGGAAGCAGAAAAGGAACCTTTGAAGCAAATGCTGCCAGTTCATCCTGTTTGTTGCCAGGCTCAACGAAAGACCACATACACATGATGGTGTTCTCGCAGACAAAGAGGCAAGGGGAACAGTGATAGGCATGTTTTCGGGATAGCTCCCATCAGAGCCTATCCGATTCTACTCCTTGAGAATAAACGCGGCTTTTCATGTATCAAGAATGGCGCGAAAGCCGCTTTCACGTTGTCCATTTCCGATGAGGCTGCGGAAGAAGGAGAAACAGAGAGGTGCAATTGGAACATTGGAAACGTTTGATCATACCTCCAAGTAATCCGCCAAAAGTGTGAAGGCACAGACTGAAGAAAGCTTTGGCATATCTTGAAGCTCAACATGAACTCTGACTTTTGTTGAAAAGGGACGTCCGTGTGTTGTTGTTAGTGTGACGGAAGTGACCACCAAAACGATCGCAGGCCAGAGCGCTTCAGTTGCAGCTCCTGTGGCAAGCTCCGGCTGAAGCTGGAACATGCTGAACGTGCCAGGGTCAAGGCCCGGATCATACCAGGCGATACTCCCTGCAAGTCACACCCATGTCAGTCTTTTCATAGTGTTGGACATGTCGGAAGTTGGGAAGTTTCATCACTCACTTGGCGCTTGCTGTGAAGTTTTAAGACAATCACACTCATCAGGCTCAAGAGCAACTGGTACGCATTCAGCAGGAGAATGTCAGGACATCACCATTTGCTTGCAGCTTGAAAGACACATTGTCCATCAGAATCAATTAGCTCTTTTTCAAACAAAGCTCTTCAAGTTTCGCCTGCGAAGCTTGCAGGATGCGGCAAACATCAGGCTACGCAGGACTAGTAGGGTAAAAGTAGCAGTTCTGCGTTATTGCTCCTAGTAGTGTTGCCAGGAGCCCCTAGTAGCGTTCTTGTTCCTAGTAGCGATGCCCTTTGCTCCTAGTAGCGTCCTAGCAACGTCGTTATTGCAAAAGAAGTGATTGGTGATGCGGCTGGTGCTCTGGACTAGAAGAGGAGGCATTGTGCTTTAAGATGTTCTACACCGTGCTACACCGTACTACGAGACAAACCGCCGTCTTCAAGAACGCATGTCACTACCTGATTTTGTTTACCCCGAACAGAAGCTTAGCAGTTGTTAACTAATTACCCTTTTCTTTTTCTTTCAACTCTTTAACCTTTCTCATGTTCTGTTTTTGTTACACTTGTCCAACTCTTGACAAACAATGGTTGTTCAATCCACACGGCGCGTTTCTCTGCCCAACTCCAACGGCTTGCCATCGCAGGAGGCGAATCCGGCGGAGTGGCAGCTGATGAGGAAGTGGCAAGGAGAGAGAAGTAAAACCGAGGAAACGAAGGAGAAAACAACCTAATAGCAAGACGAACCTAAGAGCGATGGCCTCCAACCTAACAAGTTGGAATTCTCAGAGGGCGATTGCCAGCTCAATGATTTTGAAGGACCAACCAGCAACGTGTGTGTGCATGCAAGTGTAGGAATGATATCCATCACTGCAACAGTCAGTTCAGCAAACAAGCGGCTAGAGGGACTTATGGATGACTTGTCCTGCTTTTGATTGTCGCAACAATGATATGGAACACAGCACATTGTTTTTGGCCAAGTGGAACTTGTACACTCGTTGGCATACTTGTCCAAGTCACCCTACGGTACTACGGGACTGTCATTAAAGTTCTTGCCACACGAAGCAGAATGAGACCCCCCCTTGGTCCACCATCAACGGGCGTCGGAAGAGCTCCAAAGGACTTTGGAGAGCTATCGAAGAGAGGCACGCTCAGCTGAGATGGAGCTAGTTAGTTCCACCTGTGAAGAGTAAGGCTCCTGTATTTTCATCATGTTATTTTTGTATTATCTTTATTAATATTTGTGTGTTTTTTTTCCTAGATGTTGTTTTTCTATATTTGTTCCTGTAAGTCGAAACTTTTCAAACGAAGCCGAGCTCTGAGCTGCATCTAAGCCATTTGGGGCACGAGGCAGCACATTGAAGTAGAAAAATGTGTTTCTTATTGTTTAGCCCAGAGACTGCCTACTTAGTTCGCTACTTGGAGTTCGCTTCTAGGAACAGGACGCAGGATAGAGAAGATGCCAATCATTTGGCTCCTAGATTTTTAGGGATGCAGAGCCCATCCAGCCGTGCCGCCATGCTGCGTTGGGTGATTTCTGGCGAAGAAGTTTCTGAGTTCAAGACAACAAATGGACTACGATGTTGCGAAAGAGGGGTGCTGTCAAGGAACTGAAGCGCTTCCTAGGCATTCGGCTTGGATGCTCCAGGTTCCGACAAAGACTTTTGGGAGATGGCAAAAAGTTGTCAGATGAGACGTTGTTGGCAGGCCTTGAGAGTTTACAATTGATCGTCTTGGATTTCTGCGGTCCAGCTGAGCAAAGGGAATCCTGGTAGTTTTGATTGTATTGGTGTTGCTTAAAAAGACACCCGACGTGTATGAAAAAAACATGATGAAAGTTGAATGGATGCTTCGAGCACCCCTTGATCTGACGCGCCCACCCAGGAGATTCCCAACATGTCACCGCTTCACGTGGCTGGATTTCAGGTACAAGTGGAGGCTGAGGCTGAGATCAATGCCAAGGCAAACAGGGAGATGGTGTTGAATACTACAGCGAAGTCGAGAGGCAGTATGAAGTGCTCCAGTGTTTGATTCAGGCAGGCGCTGGACTGGATGCCGGCACCATCCGAATTTTGCGTGAAGCAGTTAAAGTCGGCGATGTCCAAGAAGTGCGATCACTGATTCAGGCTGGTGCTGACAAGAATGCACTGGATCGGTTTGGTCGAACGCTTTTGCTCGTGGCTGCATACGATGGTGGTTTGGAAGTCCAACGATTCTTGGTCGAAGCTGGTGCTGAAACAGAAGCAGTTGCGTCAATAGAACAATTCAATTGAGGTGTGACACCTTTGCATTTGGCATGGCCTCCAACCCAAATAGCGATGGCCTCCAACCTAATCTCGATGGCCTCTAATATCGATGGCCTCCAACCTAATAGTGATGGCCTCCAACCTAGAAGCAATGGCCTCAAACCTTTGCATTTGTCAGCCTTGAATGGATGTTTAGAAGTCGTAGAATCGTTGCTGGAAGCTCGAGCACGCCAAGATCCCCCCTATGCTGACGGCAGGACGACTTGGCATTTGGCAGCTGTGGATGCAAGCAGAAATCAGCTAATTTCGCTGAACTACAGAGTATGTACTGAGAATAGTGCAGAAAACAAACCAAGCGTAGGGCTTCGGAGCAGCAAGGAAGGCACTGGGGACGGGCATGACCAATTGCGTTTCAAAGTTTTCTTGGTTCCGGTCAAGTTTCAGTTGAAGGGTTTTCAGGGCAAAGGTGGAGAGCTTGCGGCGCTTTGCAATCCAAAAGGTTCTTGTAGCTTGCATCAATGGGTCAATTCAAGGAGCAACGCGTGTACCAGAACCCACACAGGTGGCTTTCTTGAAGCAATCCTTGGCCGAGCAGAAAGAACTTGAGGTGCGAAACATACGGGACGTTTTTTGGGCCGCTCCCCCCTCCCTACTTGCTTAAGTAGAGACTACCTACTTCTTAGTTAAGTAAGGGAGTAGTTCGCTACTAGAAAAAGTTAGTGGATGCTTCTAGGTAGGACGCAGGATAGCTCACGCTTCCTTGAAGAAGCGCCCGCACTAATGATTTGGTTCCCAGATTCTTACGGAAACTTAACTATAGCTAATCCTTTTTCTTTGTCTTCGAAGATTGTCTATTCTTTGGACAGAATTTGTTATGTTCAATTAGACGTTCTTGTTCTGTGTTTCGCTTTAGACGCTTAGATGTGTCTCTTTTTCTGAATATTTTATTATGTGTTTGTGCCTGGGAGGTACAGCTTCGCGAGGAGCTTCAACGCCTGCGTCACGAACACGCAGAGCGCATGGAGCAGGTGCAAGGCAAGCACAGCGAAAGAAGAGGATTTGAGCACGATACAAGAAGCCAACTGGCTCAAAAAGAAGTTTTTTCTCTGATTAAAGTGATGTGAGGGACCAAAACAACACCCACAAGACAGATTCCGGGTCAGAAGCTTTACAAGAAAGTAGAACAAGCTTGAAAGTGCCAGAGCGCACTGTGGCAGGGCAAATGGCGACCCTTCTGCTTGACCTTACGGAGGCGATTTGTTCAGATCGTCGTTGACATGTCTTCGTGCAACGAAAAGCGGTCTGCTTTTTGAAGTCTTCGCATGTTCAGCAACTTCCACAGTGACCAGACCACATATGAGGCCGAAGCTGGATCCAAGTGACTTGCGCTGGAAAAGAGTCGCATGCTGTATTTCGTGTTCAATGACCAGCTGAGGCATGTGGAGCCTAAACTGAGAGATGTATACACATATACATTTTTACTTTGAGATGGTCTACTAAGCGACTTCTCAATGTCACTTGCAGAAGAATTCAATTGGGCTGTTTAGGCCAAACACAGTTGAATGTTTCACATTGGTTTTTGAAAAAAGAAAGTGAAATCGTTTCATTTGCCGTGCACATCAAGCGACCGTGGCCCCGCCCGCGGCACCTGCCCCTGGCGGCGTCCGTGGCCTACACGTGCGTTGGGACTCTCAGTGGCTAACGAGACGCTCCTTGTATTCGCCATAAAGTAGAATGGGAAAGGGAAAAAGGTTGCTTAGGAATTGAGGCGGACAGACTGGAATTGAAAGGGAAGAGGAAATAGAAAAGCACTCTAGGCAGTACCTCGTGTGCTTTGTCCTTCAAGCTACAGATAATCACATTTGTATTTTGTTCACATTGTCTTGCAGTGTGGACCAGCGAAGGCACCTGGGATGGGCTGTGGCAATTCGAAGCCACAGGAGGAGGCCATACTGTCAAGTCGTTCCCTTTCCTGAACTCTGTTTCTTTACTGTTTGGCCTTGTGGCAAGGAGGTTTTTTTTTGGTCTTTTGTTGTTGGTAACAAGTGTGAACATATGAACAGAAAAGGATGTTGGAAGAGATGAAACATGATTGTAAAGGCCCTTTTTATGGAAGCCTTATCAAGAAGGCCCTTTTTTCCCTTCCTACATTTTAAGAATTCTAACAAATTGTGTTCAACTCATTCTTGTAAGGGGTAGAATTGTTGGCAGGCTGCCAGCCCACAACCTGGCACAAGTCAACCTCCACCTTCGCAGCAGCGGGGAGCCTACACCGGCTACACTCAACGCGTCACCAGAAATGAAACCGAATCGTGAAAGCTGCCAGCTGATACTAGTACGCTACTGGGGGATCCTGGCATCGCTACTAGGAGCATTCTTACTACTATGAGTCACTTGTCAAAACCGAAGATTGAGGCCCGTGGTTCCAGCACCCACAGCATCGCTCGCGACTGTGAGGCAAGAACGTTCTGCATGTTCCGTGACAAGAGGAATTGAAGGCTTCTTTATAATGGCCTTTGGGTATAATTAGGTTGGAGGCCATCGCTATTAGGTGTCCTTTCTCTTTCTACCTTTAAGTATATGATTTATGAGCAGGAGTGACAAAGTCATCGTGCCTCGCAGCTTTCGCTTGCTGGATGAATTGGATGCTTGGTGTTTGAAAAAGTTGTGTATTCTTTGTGTATGATGCGTAGCTTTGCTGCATGCTTGAATCATTGCTGTGCTATTCTGCAATCAAAACGGATGCAGCTTTGAGGAAAAGGGACAAAAGTGTGAGAGAGCATCACACCTCTCATGGGGTTTGGCGTATGATGACGATACTCGGTTGCAGCACATTGGGGGCTAGAAGGCATCAAGGCATCGGCTGCAAGGAATCAGCACAGGAAAGAAAGCTTGCCGCACACTGCCGGAAGCGTCACACTGTTTTGCATTGCAATAAAGTTTTTGCTTTGTGGTCTCAAGGACTTGCAGTTTGCTCGTGTTTGTTCACTAAGGACATCACACTAACAACTTGGAATGGCACCATTTTTGGACCAATTGACACCGCCTATGATAACCGCATTTACTCCCTGGTGATTGTTTCGAGCTCAGAAAGCTGCAAGATGAAGTTCAAGAGCAGAAAAGAAATGGAATAAAGAAGGATAGGAGCAGGACTTCTTTAATGAGGCTAAGGCCCAAGAAAGAGCGACAGAGCTTTTGAGGTGACCGGGCCTAGCTATCCTGATGTTCTGCCTGAAGTTCGCTTCACGGCGGGCATCAATATGAATTGCGTGGAGCCCGACGGACAGGTGAAACCCACATGGGGAGTCCTAGGCCGGAGCTTTGAGTGTAAACGGAATGGAAAATAATTGATTTGCCGATGGGAGATGCTTTCGATGTTTGAGTGTTTGTTCTCTTTGTACATTGTACACAAAGGTTGGTTGGCCTACTTGCACAGGCAATTGGAAGCGAGAGTACACTATTGAGACGGTCTTAGATGCACTTCGACGCGAGATGTGTGGCTCTTAGTTTCAACAAGCTCAGTAGAAGAATGAACCAGCCCCATCAAGTTTCGCGCCGGTCAATTTTCCCAGGTGCAGCCCCAACAATCGCCATTTGGCACAGCCTGATACTGCGCCACCGGCGGGAAATAGCTAGAATCTAGCAGCAGCAAATGTCAGTGCCTTAGGAACGGGCTTTAGACCTGTAGACCTTTCAAGAGTTTTTCTTCAGACCAAACTAGGAATGAATGCTTCTTTGAAACAACAAACAAATGTTTCTTGCTTCTTTGAAACAAGAATGTTTCTTGCTCCTTCCTCTTTGTCTTTATTTCTTTCAGTTTGTCTTCTTTTCTTTGTTCCCATTTTCGCTGGCTACTAGGGAGTGACTCGATTACCGATTGGAAGAAACAGAAGAGGGAGAAAACAAGAGGGGAGAGGGGCTCAAAGTTGCGGAACAGAGATCACAGCACTGAGGTGATAGGTGAGAATCACTTTGAGAACGTCGCTTGCTGAACAATTGCCTTTTCCTTCGGCAAATGTTACTGAGGCGGCGGAGCGTGAGAGGCTGACCCGGGAGGTGTCATGATCCACGA